CTAACCCTTTTTAAAAGATGATATGACATTGTCATGAGGCGTCTCAGTTCCTGTAGTACTGTGATGCCCTCAGCCTGCACAAGGTATGTGGGACTATTGCTTATATTCTCCAGACCACTGTGCTTTCAGTCTGCTTTTTTATTTCTTGATTAGAAGCTGATTCTCACCTGTGATCTAGAGCAGTACATTCACTGGATAAGTGCCATCTTACTGTAGTGGGCACTTAATTTCCTATGTGTGAGATCCTTGCTGGGCACAATTAAGTGTATTTAAGAAATTTAAAATATGCCATAGAAAAAGAAAATCCTGCAATACGTGACAACATGGATGAATCTGGAGGATATGATGCTGAGTGAAATAGGCCAGTCACAGAAGGACAAATGCTAATGTGATTCCACTTTTATGAGGAATCTAAAACAGTCATACTCAGAAAGAGAGTAGAATGGTGGTTGCTGAGGGGGGTGGATGGGGAATTGCTACTCAGTGGGTAAAAAGTTTTAATTATGGGGAAGTCATCAGAGAGGGAGACAAACCATGAGAGACTCTTAACCATAGGAAACAAACTGAGGGTTGCTGGAGGGGCAGAGGTGGGGGTATGGGGTAACTGGGTGATGGGCATTAAGGAGGGCACGTGATGGGATGAGCACTGGGTGCTTTACGCAACTGATGAATTATTGAACTCTACATCTGAAACTGATGATGTATTATATTGTTGGCTAATTGAATTTAAATTTTAAAAAGTTTTAGTTGTGCAAGATGAATGAGTTCTAGAGATCTGTTATACAACATGATGCTTGGAGTTTACAGTACTGTATTATACACTTATAAATTTATTAAAAGGGTATATCTTATGTTAAAAGGTCTTACTATAACTTTAAAAAATATGACTTAGGAGCTCACATTTGAGGGAAAAAAGGCAGTATAATACCAGAACTTAAAGTGTTTTTCTTCTGATTATTTTACCTGCTTATTTCCCCCTTCTCTGTATTCGTTATAAGACAGTAAATGTTGGGCGCCTGGGTGGCTCAGTTGGTTAAGCGACTGCCTTCGGCTCAGGTCATGATCCTGGAGTCCC